AGTTATAAAGAATTTAAAATAGGGAGTTACTTTCGGATCACCCTGTAGATCGATACCTGTAAAACAAAACGGTGAATGAAATCTGGACAAAATCGGATTTCCAGATTTTTGATTTTGCTGTTGGAAATTTCTAAAAAGAGGAATATCTAATTAATTGATTAGCTCATTGATCCGTCAGAATATAGTCTTATTCAAGAATCCAATTTCGTGAAAAACATAATTGTATAAGGAAAACAAATCATTTGAAGTCAAATTAATCTAAGCAACACTTTGGAAATTCATTCAAAATATTAAAGTATATACTTCTTTATATAGGTCGATATCTGTAGAACAAAACGGTGAATGAAATCTGAACGAAATCGGATTTCCAGATTTTTGATTTTGTTGTTGAAAATTTGTAAAAAGAGAAACATCTTATTAAATGATTAGCTGATTGATCTGTCAGAATATATTCTAATTCATGAATCTGACTACGTGGAAAATAATACTGGATACCCAGAACGAACAATCCGACAGTCGGATCTCGTCGGATCCTATCGGAAAAATTATCGAATCCGATGGCAATTCGTCGGAATCCTTGGTATCGGATTCCGACAGGAAGTTGTCGGATGTCGGAAAGTGTCGGACGTGGCCGGGATCTTGTCGGAACTCTGAAAATCCGACACTTTCCAACATCCGACAACTTCCGACTAATTTCCATCGGATCCGATGGTGTGAGATCGGCTTGGGTTTTCTGCATTCTTATATAATCCGACAAGTTCCGATACCAGTGATTGATCTGTTTTATCATGGAATCCGGTGTCATTTGAAACCGCAAAATCCGGCCATTTCTTGACATCAGATTCCCCGGAATCCCACCGGAAGCGAACAGATCTTGAGATCGGATCTGACCAGTTCGGAATATATGAATCTAGTCGGAGCTCGATGAATCCGACCGTCGGATATCAAAGGAAAACAGTGGATAGCATCGGAATCCGACAAAAAGTAACCGACCGAATCCGATTAGCCGTATTTCAACGGATTTGAAACCTATCCGACAGGATCCGACATAGCTATTTCGACCTGGGAGGTAGTAGCATAAGTTCTTATCTTTTTATTGTTTTTTACAGTGATCTGACCACATGTTTTGGAGCACACTCGGCGCATCTCTTTGCAGATGACCTTAATGTATTCATTAGACCTCCGATATCAAAAAATTTGGCACCCATGATAGAATATCTAGAGAAAGAAGGGACTAAAGTATGCAATCAGATCTCAGCATACTCACGGAAATGGAAACAACCGATAAATGTTAGTAAAACAGTAGCACAAATTTTTTTCTCACAAGTTACAATACCACAAATAAATATCACTATGGACGGACATACAATCGAAGTAGTTAAATCCTTTAAATATTTGGGTTTTACCTGGACAAGTAAGTTGTCCTTGAAACCAACTATCGATAAATGTGTGGATAACATACAGAAATCGTTCATAAAGATGAAATGGTTAAGAGCAGGAGATACATTACCCACAGCAGTGTTAAGAACATGTTTCTTCGCTTATAGTTTCCCACATTTCGCTTGGGTGTTTCCTCTTTTTCCACTATTACCCAAAACTCAAAAAGAAATGCTGAGGCGCAAATTCCGGGTACGAATGAGACTAATACATCGATGCCAATATATATTAGATCATATGCTGTTTGAAAGGTTAAAAGAAAACAATCTAGAGTTTTATGTAAAAAAATACATAATGAAAAGGCTAAAGCAAATGCATAAATCTGACTTAGGAAAGTCTTTCTTTTACAACGATATATTTTACTGGGACGAGTGTTAAAAAAAAAGGAGACTATCTAGGTCATCTATTCTAAATGAAACGAGTGAAAAATTTCAAAGAGAGACATGAAGTTTTTTTAATAAAATGGATTGAATATATAAACTAGGTACGCAGGCATGTGATGATTGTGTCTTTCATATATATCTGCAATCTTTTTAATATTTCAGCTTATCTTTCTTTCGTCTTTTTTGTTTCCTTTTTGTGTTTCCTTTTCTCTTTTCTCTTTCTTTGTTTTTCTCCCCCATATCACAACACTTTCACTTTCATTTTCTCCTTTTTTTCTTACTGCTTCTCTTCTTTCTTTTTTGTTTGTTCTCTTTTCTCTAGTACTTCCCTCTATATGATACGAGTGCATAACAGTTTTCTCAAACCAAGTTAACTGGCATCTCTATATCTCTGCTTAAAACTATACTTCATGCTGGTATGGAAACTTGGAAATCCCCATGTAAGCGCTCCCGAGCGTCACAATAAATAGCATAATAAAAAAAAACCAATAAAATTAAGCTAACTTTTCACCAACTCAACCAAAATGCGCTAAAAATTTGGATTTAGAGGTTTTAGATGATTCTGAACAAGATGAGAATATCAAAAAAAAACTAACTTTCATCAAGTGCTTCGATTTCTCGGTGGCCTCATGGGTGCTCTCTTAAGAACTTTAACAAATACATAATAGTTTTTTTTTCAAATAATTATGAAAGCACTTGAATGTTTTAAAGCAGTCGATTTCATATTCTTTATACTGTTCAACTCGTTTATTATTGTTAAATAAATCTGAAGTCAATTGCGCGCAGTTGCTAAAATCTGTAATTGGGAGGATGTCTGTAATGGGGAGAGAGGAGCCGCGAAAACTTGAATTTAAAACCTATACTCACTAGTCTCTTCGAAAATATAAGTGAGTTTCATAAACCTGATCAGAGTCACATAAGTTGCAAGTTAAAATGTTGATAATGATAGATATACAACTGTGAAGGCTTTAATTTTTAACACGGGCTGACTGCATGGAAATTGAAAAGAACATTCCGAAGCTCATACAATACAAAACATTTTTTCTATTAAATCAACAAAATATAAAACTAACGGATATTTTCTTTGAAAGACACTTGTTAGTACCACGTTTCTGTGATGGTCTAGTTTAAAAGTATGGGATATTATCTAGTGAAAAAGCACAATAAAAAACCAACATAAGATCAGCATTCATATAGATTATAGAAACCGATACATTTTATGCACTGAAAAAATAGTAGTTGTTCGAAGCACTGATTTTATTAGTAATATGTCATGATTTGATGATAGATTAATGTAAATATTGGTTATGGATATTTGGAGCAGAGAAGTCGTCCAATTGGCTTCCAATAACTTGTTTGTACTGTATCTTTGACTACCCAATCGAAGAAGTTGTCTTCGATCATTGCACGATGCTCATCACTCATATCTTCATCATTCAGCGGCAATTTGTATAATGGTTCATACAAGACTTTAGCCATTGCAAAAACCATTTCACGACCACCATATCGTGGCTGAAAAAAGGCAAAAAATCGCTTTTGTAGTTCATAATCTGGATGATCATTAGCTGGTAGTCCGGCATATTCCAAGATCTTTCCATTAACACTGGTCCATAATTGACGTGTTTGATCGCTTCCATCGTGTCGTACAAGTTCTTCCATAGAATAGAATATATTCGGTGTTATATCAGTGAATGACTTGAACTCAATAGGTTTCTTTCGCTTTATTACTGGTTGCTCTCGTTTAAGTCGATCAATGTATTCAGGTCGAACATTATGATATTCACATCCTTTAACAATAATGTCTAGATAACGCTCACTTGGCAGACTTGATATTTCATTTGTATTATTCATTTTGTAGACATAAACTGTGTGAGACTGATGCTGATAATCGATTACATTGACCAAAATTCGATGGTAAAATCCTTCAATTTGATCCAAACGAATAATTTGCTCTTGTGGAAGAAGATGAACGACTCCATCGAACTCAGTTCCTGGACAAGAATCAATATCAGCCATTCCATTGTTATCTCGGAAGACCAGTTGATAGTCAGGACAGATAACTGGATAAGAGATCACTGGAGTCAGTTGACGAAGATGCAGAGATATGGGATTAGTCATGCTGCCTATAGCGAAATACCAAACAAATTGACGATCATCTGGTAGAATAATGCATGGCTTTAATGGGTCATTATATTTTAGAACCAAATCAATCAAAGACTGATCGAAGTGTACAAGATTTGAAAGAACAAGTTCGCAGGATAACTTGAAATTCCTATCACTGAGTGAAGAATTCAAACGATGAATATAATCAGACATACTAACAGGAACGCGTTGTTTTTATTTTATGCCTCCTATATTACAATATCATGCCTACTTTAGCATATGATAAGGAATAGAAAATATAACAGAACGAAATAGTTTAAGTCAGTATTGCGCTCGGAATAAAGACTACAAATGCACAGAACAGAAGTATGCATTTATGAATCATTATGTCTTATATAAAATATGGCTTTCACAAGTTTTTCAATCATTGTAGACTAAATTTCATATTCATATGATGTATTCTCGCATAGAATATCGTACGCTTTAACATCAAGGTAGAAATACGAAATCAAGTAAGGATTAAAAAGAACTACTCTATATCACATTTGTGTTTTCAGATACTGAACAGTGATCAGATATCGCACATGGTTCTGTATCTACTATTTCTCAATATTATTCTGTTCGCAGTTATTCATAAAAATAATACTCGTTAATTAATCTACAATGTTTTAATTGCAATTTTTTTAATTTTTTTTTAATCTATTGTCATCATTAGAGTACGAAAGTTTTAAACACTATTGAAATAATTCAAAACAAAATAAAAATATTTGTCAGTAATATTTCACTTTACACATTCGAGGAACATTGATTTATGCATACTCAATATCGATTAACAATTATTCATTCAGGTACTACAATCGCTTTGATTTTTTTGAATAAGAACATTGACAAACTGTAGGGTACAATTGATACTGATTGATAATCTATTTTTCTTTATAGGTTTGTACAAACCAGAGTTTGCGTTTGATTCGACAATGCTCTTACTTGATGAATGAAAACAATTCGATTGAAATAAGTGCTCGTATGGTACGATTATTCTATACTTTGTATTATCTTTGTAATAGATAAATAAAAGTTTCTTGTGGCAATGATCAGTAAAGATATACATGTTTGGTGATTTTCTAAGCAATATCATTTGTAGAAAACACAACTAATCAATCACAGAATCCTATTTGATGATCATTTCTGTGTAACGTTATTGCTATACTTCCTAAACACAATAATCTTCAAGCAATGCATCTATATGGTCTATTACATTTTTCATCTAGCGATGTCTTGTAACCGTCTTGTTGTCTGATATATTCTTTCGACTGATTATGTGTTTCGTGAAGATATTCATTGAAAAACTAGAGTATATCAAAAAGTGTATTTGCTTTTCTCTTTACATTATCTGCATGGTTTTACTTGAATGTTTTGTCGTAAAATTTCTTATCTGCAGTATGGACTCCCTTCATATCTATTTTGTGACAAAACTTGGTTGCAGCAAATAATCTCTTCCTATATAGCCTTCATGAAAGAATAATATTTCTTCTGATATTCTTGAGTTTTATTGCGAACTAACCATAAAGTCGATGTATCTCAAACGAACGAACATTTCACGAATATGTATTATGACTATCATATCGTCGTCATTTTACATCCTAAACATATTATTTTTATAACAGGAGAAAGAGCACAACATTCTGCATCTTTTCATATAAATAAATAATTCAAAGGTGTAAAAGTAGTTGAATAATGAACAGTATAAAATCGAAAAGTGAAAAAGTTGGCTTGATGCAAATGTCTTTAAAGGAAACGCACTAGCATAGAACAAGCTACTTAGGGCAATCCAAAAGTAGTGTCGTCAAGATCTTGTTTTCTTATAGTAAGCAAAAAAATAATTTTCTTTTTTTATATGAATAGATAGAGCGTCTTTCGCTCTATCTTTCTATGCTATTTGGTCGATCTTTACTCAATATTAGAATAAAAAAACTTTGGTACGAGCTGTTTTTGTTGAAAGCTGGCTGGTTGCATTACATTATATCATCATTCTTGCATGCTTTTTTTTCGTTCTTTCCTTGTTTTTCTCTTATCTTTTTTCTTTTTTTCCTCGTCTTGCCATGTAATTAACTGCGTAGATATTTCAGTGTGCAAAATGTGATAATGATGCAAAATAATAAAAAACAGAAAGAAATTGAACTAATGTCTATTTCATCAAATGTTCAAAATAATCGCCTTCATTATCCACACACAACTGCATTCTTTGAATGCATTTATCGAAAGTTTTTTTTAATATTCTTCTTTGCTCAGAGAGTGCATAAACTCCGTCACAGCATTACGTAATGATTCTGAATCGTTTTGATTGACCAGATTTTCTTTGATTAAGTCGAATAACCAAAAGTCACATGGTGCTAGATCTGGAAAATTAGGTGGATGTGGCATTATTATAATGCCTTCCGATTCAAGATAACTGGTCACATCTTTATGAACATGTGACCTTCCGTTATCGTGATGAATTATAATGTCACGAGTGCCACACGACTGCCTTTGACATTTGATTTCATCGACGAGAGGTCGGAAACAATTGTTGATATAATAATAGTGATCAATTGTTTTTCCCTTTCCATATGATGAATAAGGACAGAACAATTTGACTTAAAGAAAATGGCAAATAATGTTTTTGGAGCAAACTTACTGCGTCGAATCACAATAGGTGGATGATCTCCTCTTGCCACCCACGCAGCGTTTGATGACTTTCGACCAATCTGTTGATGATAAAACCATAACTCGTCAGCAGTTATTACATCACATAAACACCTTGTTCCTTTTTGAAATTTTACTAAATTTTCGTTGCATATTTGAACTCGCTCTGACCATTGAGAATCATTCAGATTTTCGGGTACCTAACGAGCGGTAAGTTTCCTAAGCTTTAGATGATCCGAGATGATTCGCTGAACAGTTCCATAACTTAAATCAGTTTGCTTCTGCACTTCTTCAATTGTAATGTAAGGTTCATGATCGATTAAAAGGCGAACTTGTTCTATATTTTCAGCTGTAGTTTCAGTGATTGGCCTTCCAGATATTACTTCATCTTCAATTTCTTCTCGCCCTTCACGAAACGATTTAGACCATCTTTGAACTGTTCTTAGAGAAGGAGCTTGATCACCGTAAACAGAAGATAATTCATTATGAAGAGCGCTTGGTGAAGTGTTAAGTTCGGTACACACTTTAATATAGAAGCGAACGTTTTCTGTACTCATCTGAAACAAATAGATACTGTTAAGGCTCAATTCAACTTAATTGTTTTAGTTCTTTCAAAAATATTGCAGCAAACTATACCTATACTCAAAGAAGACGAGACACGATGTATCTCTTAACATATATGTATGCACAGACAATTAATCACATGGCAAGACGAGGCAAAAAACGAAAAAAGATAAGAGAAAAACAAGGAAAGAACGAAAAAAGCATGCAAGAATGATGATATGATGTAATGCAACCAGCCAGCTTCCAACAAAAACAGTTCTTACCAAGGTTTTTCTATTCTAATATTGAGTGAAGATCGATCAAATAGTATTGAAAGATAGAGCGAAAGACGCTCTATCTATTTATTAAAAAGAAGAAATTTTGTTTTTGCTTACTATAAGGAAATAAGACCTTGACGACACTACTTTTGGATTGCCCTAAGTAAAATGTCACAGAGTACAAGTTTCACTCATTTCTACGTGAAGATTTCAATGACACATTTTTTAATTGCTATCATTTGATTTCTTATCTTTAACTATACCATTTTCCAGTAGTTTGGCTTAATCAATACTGTTTTGAATTTTTATTGAACTAACAAAAAATGACTCTTCGTTCACTCTATGTGCACTATTGATAAAGCGAATGCATCAACTATTTTAACTTGAAATCTACCGCTTTTCATTATTTTCTTCGTTTTTAATAGATCGACATCAAAACTTGCTTATATTTCTATTGGCAAATATCTTCATAAAAAATGAATTTCATGAAGATAGCTATTTAGATATATAGAAAACTCTCCATTTATCTTCATATGGCATTTTACAAGATGAGAGATGCGTTCACGCTGTGAAAACGATTTTTTGATGAAACTCATGTTTTATATACCTTGAGAGAGACCAGAAGTGAAAATTCGACTGAAAAAAGTATCAGAAATAATTTGATCAGCTTATGAGTGGACTCTGTTTTTTTTTATTGTTTCAAATATGAAATATTTTTCGAAGTCAAGCAATGCATATTCTACTCAAAACGCGCTAAATATTAGTCGAAAAAAGGCATTACTTGACTGTCATGTATCGTAGTCAGATCAGAAGTTGTCTAATAGATATCGAATTTTGAGTTGAAAGTTGTCTCATCAGAAAGAGCACATTCGATCACTTATTCAATAAAAGTCTTGCTGGTGCATCCATCAAAACTATAGCTTCATAAAAAATGGAAAAATCATTACTTGTATAAATATGACCTGTTTCAGACAATATTTGAAATTTATCGATAGAAAAACATTTCAATGTCTAAAATACTCTTATAGATTCTGACAGAAAAAGATATTCTGCATTTATTGGCAGGATTTTCAGCGAATCTAAATTGGAATTTTATGAAGTTTTAGGTCTAAAACTGTTGTTTGAAACCTTCAGAGTGTGCTTCAGATCTTTCTTGCTATCTGAATAGTTCTTTAAAAAAAACTGATATTTTTAATCAGCACACTTGACCCTATCTACTTATGAAGAATCCTAATTGAACAGAAGGAAAAATAATTCGAGATCTCAGGTGAGTATCAGGTCTGAAAAACTGACTTGTGATAAAAGACAAAATAAACTCATGAAAAATAGTTAGGATTCAATGCTGATTTACATTCTTTGAGACGTTTTGTCCGTAGTTTCAGATACTTCCTTTATTCATGAGATAGCTTA